TAGAGGCATTTCTTCACTCAGACAGCTGCTGGCTGCTGAGGCTGAGAAGCCCCAAGGTTGACAAGTAAAAAGGCACAGTCCTGATGTTACCAAACCAATGGCAGGCCATTAACTTAAGTCCCAAGGTCGGCAGTGCATGGCAGGCTGCTGAGCAACAACATGGCTATATGCAGAGTCCAAGCGTGCCATATGCTAGAGACCGTTCCCAAGGCTTCTCTTTATATACAGGAAGCAGACCACTTGCCCAAAGGCAGGTACCCAGCTGCTTGTGGTAGATCCCACCATGCACTTGATTGACAGTCTCCTCATGGGGAATAACTACCACTAGCTGCCCAGCCACTCAACCAGGCCCAGCCACGTTGACACACAAACTGAACTACCACAGTGAGATTCAAATGGGAAAAAGAAAATGAAGAGTGCCTTGTAAATTGTCAAATTTTACAAATGCAGTGGTTTATTATTATAAAATGATAGTTTCTGTTTCCAGGATTGTTTTTTACAAAACAGTCTTATTGAGTGGGAAGCAGCTCCCAGCCTTTGGCAGTTTTAAAACATTACTAACCATTTGTTTTCCAAACAACTGTGTTTCAGAATTAACATCTCAAGATTTTTCAAACTGCTCAAATATGATCTACACACAAAAAGTTCACATTTAAGATTTCAGAACGGGGTCTTTTTTCATATTAATTGTCCTCAAGAAATTTAGGACAAGTGTAATTTACAATTAGCATTTGAATTTAGGTAAAAGCTTGGGTGGGGAAAGAAATGTTTATAAAACAGTCAACTGTAAGGTTAGGCAGGGGTCAGTTGCTCTGGGAGAGAATGGAGTTGAGCCCTGACCCTCCCTCCCTCTGAGTCAGTGTCCTTCCACTGGTAGGGGTTTGCCTCCTGGTAGATAGGTTATCTGGCTGATTCACTGTTGTTATAAAAACAGGATCTGCTGTGCTGAAAGCCACTGAAACTGGAGGAAACTAGTCATGAGTATCCTGACTATCAGCTGACCTACTGCTTGTTCTGCCTGTTAACTACCAGCACTCTTTCCAGACTAGTACAAGTCTTCAAGGTTGACCAGGACTACAGGTGTGTTTCAGCCTAAATTGGTTGAGATCTCTTTCTCCATGTTTGAAAGCTCAGAGCTGTACTTTAACACAGACCATGGCTACCTGGAGGGCCTGGTACGAGGATGCAAAGCCAGCCTCCTGACCCAGCGGGACTACATCAACCTAGTCCAGTGTGAGACCTTAGAAGGTACGTGCAATTCTTCTCATCATTTAGAGAGAAAAAAAAAACACAGAAATCTGTCTCCTTCTGTAAGCATGTTTCCATGGCCTGTATGTCTGAAACAGATCCTCATTTCCAGGGCACAGACTTCAGGCATCCATGGGGGGGGGGGGACTGCATTTATATTTTCAATGTTTTCTGAAATGAAATGTAACATTTCCTTTATTTATAAATCTAGACAACAAATCACAACTGTTAGTATTAGCAGTACCTGTGACTTTGCCACCAATAAAAATTATCAACATTTCACATCCTTTTACAGTTCTTGATGATGCCTTGAAATCCACTTGTGCTTTCACTATTTCAAAATTACAATAGATGTCACGTCCATCTGCTGATCTCAACAGTTAATGTCTTAATAAAGAAGCAGAGCATTTATTACAAATTTTGAAAATATTTTGTTGACTACATTTTAATATATTTGGTTTTCTTTTAATGGTATTTATTATTGTGGTTTGGGTAAAGTTTATAGAGAAAATTAGTGTTCCATTCAGCAATTTATGTATTTTTTGTTTTATGACATTCGTTGCAATCCCTTCAATAGAACAGTTCTCTTCCCAATTCCTCCCATGGTTCTGATTTCCATTCGCCCTTCTTTCCTGCTCCTTCCTACTTTCTGAGTTTTGTTTTTGGGGAAATGCTCCTTTGGTACCATATGGTTGATTTTTGTGAGGATTACATTCCTCCCGGGTGTTATTACTCACTTTATACGTCTGTCTCTATATATTTTTACTATATGCATTTATAATATTGTTTAGAGAAAGCTCCATAGGTCTCACTAAACTTCCAAGAGGACCATGGCATTAAAAAAAGGAGAAGAAAGAAAAATGCTAAACAAGGGCTGGTCTAAGAGTTTTATTCTATACCAAGCTTTTCAATATCTATTGATTCAGGGAGTCCCTGGATGATGCACACGATTAAAACCAAAAAGTTGGAGGTTCAAGTCCAGCCAGAGGCCTAGGAAGAAGGGCCTGGTGATGTCCTTCTGAAAATAAGCCATTGAAACCCCACGAGGCACAGTTCCACTCAGACAGGCCTGCAGTCATCACGAAGTAGAATCAACTCAATAGTAACTATCAGTTAATTGTTCGGGAGTTTCCAATTTGTCTTTAGCTGAAGCTTAAGAAAAAAAATAAGAGACGTGCTTGTTTTGGGGCCAGCCCAGATTCTAAAGTTCAGCTTCAGTCTCTGCCAGGTCCAGTAGATGACTTGGGGTTTGAAGATTCCTGATTTGAAAAATGGGATGGAAATGCCTACTTTGCTGAGTTGTAGGGAGAAATAAATGAGATAATATATGAGAGAATGCTTTAAACCACAATATTTTCAAAATTTTACATCTGTAACAGTATTATTATTGTTAAAAATAGCTACACTCATTCATTTTAAAACATATTTAATAAGAACTCAATATGTCAATAGGTGCCCTGAAAGCACCAGATTTTCTAGTTAAAGGAAGAAAGCAGAACTATCGAGCTTCCTAGGAAGAGTGTTTGGAAGGCAAACACAGAATAAAACATCTGAAGGTGACTTTGCTGGCTGCACCAGTAGAGCTGAATGCTCTGGAAGTCATTTGTTTATAGTTCTGACCTGTCAAAGCCAGTTACTGGGGAATTGCCCAAATTTTGATTTTTGCAGATGATAACAACTAATTCTATTAGCAGCTCTGGTGGCATAGTGCCTAAGGCATTTGACTGCTCACCAGAAGGCTGGCGGTTCAAACCCACCAGTCAGTGGGATACAACTCAATGGCAGTGGGTACAGCCATGTGATCTCAAAGCCTAAATAATTTCACACAAACAAACCCACTGCCATCAGTCAAATCCGACTCATAGCAACTCCCATTGGGTTTTGTTGTTGTTGTTATGTGCCATCGAGTCTGACCCAACTCATAGCAACCCCTTCTTGGGTTGCCGAGGCTGTATCACTACGGAAGATTGCCATCCTTCCTTCCGGCTTTGAACCACCAGCCTTGTGGTTGGCAGTCAAGTGCTTTAGGCACTACACCACCATTGGGTTTACAAGGCTGTAAATCTTTACAGAAGTGGATTGACTCATCTTTCTCCCACGGTGTAGCTGCTGGGCTTGAAACACCAACCTTCTGGTTAACATCCAAATGCCTTACCCACTATGCCACCAGAGCTCCTTGAATATCTTATGTTAGGACTTCGATGACTAAAGAGTGTTAATAATATATGGAAAATCTATACAGATTGAGGTAGAGAATATTAAAACATAAAGAACATGAAACAGAGTAAGTTCTTCTGTAGAAGCCATTTGAATTTAATTGCCCAAGGAATGCAAATTTAAACCCAAATAAAACATAAAATATCATTTTGATACAAAACATGATTTAGTCCTTTTACAAAAAAACAAAGAAAGAAACCAGGGGCAGCCATTCTAAAGCCATATAAAGAATTTTAGGTAATAGAAAGGTAAAAAAATAAAAATCAGGAATGTAAAAATTGTTTCCAAGTATTTTCTACCAGAGGACCTTTTGACCAAATGATTCAATTGAGTGAGGAGGAGAGGGAAGAGGAGGAAGGAATAGAAATGAATAGATCTATCTATGTCGCACTTAGATAAATATGGTACCTTTAGTTTCAATTTGGGAGAAAAGGTTTCAGAAAACCTAAAGAATGAAACTTCCCAGAAAAATACACATACATGAACACATACAGGATTTTCCATAAAATGTCAGGAAGTTCATGGGCCACTCTAAGCCCATCCCTACATACTGTTATGACATTTCTTTCTTTTCATGGTTTCTACCTTTCTTTCCTCCTCAAATTTTTTCAACAATTCATTTCAAAATTATATTTGAATTTGTGTGCCAATATACTGTTTGGAGACTTCCAGAAATAGCAAGTATGAGTCATCAAACCTTGTTTGGGTTATAATAGCTGCTGAGAAAAATCTAAATAAAAATTTCACATTCTTGATTAACAATTGAGGACATTGGGGCTTAAAATGGTTGTAACCAACGGAACGAACTGTCAGCCATGTTGTTGTTATGTGCCGTCGAGTCGGACCCGACTCATAGCGACCCCTCCTTGGGTTTCTGAGGCAGTATCACTATGGAAGTAGATTGTCCCATCTTCCTTCTGAGGAGTGGCTGGTGGGTTTGAACCACCAACCTTCTGGTTAGCAGTCAAATGCCTTAGGCACTACACTACCAGAGCTCCTAGAGGATAGAAATATCTGGGTCTCTTCTTCCTCTCTAATGTATTACTGCCTCCTGATTGTGAATTGAAGATGTGAATTGAAGGTCCATGAACAGATCTGTGTTGAAGTGATATCAGGACTGCCCAGGGATATAACCAGGGAGCTGCTGGGGCTGTGGACTGCAACCACTGACACTGTCAGAGGGGATGCCACCAGAATTACTATCTATAGTTTTATAAATCTATCCCTATAGTTAGTTGTAACAGCAAAAAATTTTTGGTAAGTCCAGTTCACATGTATCAATATACCTACAAGGCTAAAACTCTACGTATGGTAATTTACTTTTTGAACAATATAATGCCCTCCAGTCAGAGCTATCATTATGACCCAATCACAAAGATGCTTTAAATCCTGTGGTTTCATCTGCATGCATGTTGCAAGCACGCGCTATTGTTTTCATTGCTGCTGGTATTTTTACAGTCTCTGATTTTGTCAAATTTTCTGCTTTAGCTACAATATTATGGTAATTAGTATTTGTGAACTTATATCGATAACTTTTTTGAGAGTGGAGTAGTAATTAAAGGAAAAAAAAAAAGCAATCTCACTGCCATCGAGCTGATTCCGACTCACAGTGACCCCCTTTGGGTTTCCAAGGTGGTAAATCTTTACCGAAGTAGATTGCCTAGTCTTCCTTCTGCAGAGTAGCTGGTGGGTCTGAACCACCAACCTTCTGGTTAGTAGTCAAATGTCTCAGGCACTGCACCACCAGAGCACCTTAGTGCAATTATTGTGCAATGTGAAAGCAAGCACTAAAAGAAAACCTAAGTAGGCAAAGATTAAATTTTCTTTTAACCTTTTAAAGTCACATAGTCTTTAAAAGAAAAGTATTTTGATATGAATACATTGTTTTAGAAACACAAGGGTCACATGCTTTGGGTAAATTTTGATGAGAGAAAATGAAGTTTATTCAGAAAACCTGGAAAAGTCCCCGTCTTCATCGTTGCGCTTGCTTGTGTGCCTACTTCTGCAAATATGGTCAGAAATGCCAGGGTCTGCTCCTTGCTAACACAGTAACGTCAACCAGTCACTAGAACCCTCTGTGACTCAGTCCTTCCGAGCTACAAAAGAGGGAAGCTACTAGTATGTGTCACCATTGTCACAAGGACTGATTTGAGGCAGTATTCATAAAGAAATTCTAGGCTACTTAAAAGTGATTTTGAACCAAAATCATAACCTTAAAGTGACATAAAATATATATTTAAAAGAATTAACACTGCTGTTTCCATTGGAGAAAAAAAAAAAAACCTCACTGCAGTCGAGTAGGATCCAACTTAGCGACCCCTCCTTGGGTTTCTGAGGCGATATCACTAAGGAAGTAGATTGCCCAACCTTCCTTCCAAGGAGTGGCTGGTAGGTTTGAACCTCCAGCCATCTGGTTAGCAGTCAAATGCCTTAGGCACTACATCACCAGAGCTGCCTTCCATTGGACTATTAAGACTATTATGTTGTGATTTTTTTTTTCCTTTGAAAAAGATGAGATGGTGAAACTAATATTTTAAGCACTCTAAAATTTAATAATAAATGGTGTTTTCTAAAATATATGTAAAAATATATAAGGTTTGCAGACAATATTTCTATATATGTATTTGCATATGCAATAAGAATGTCCATATATCCAACAGAGCTAACCAAAAACCAAAACCAAACTCACTGCCATTGAGTCAACTCTTAACTCATAGCAACCCCCTTTGGGTTTCTAAGGTAGTAAATCTTTATGGAAGTAGATTACCCAGCCTTTCTTCCAC